ATTCCGGTGGATTTTTCACAATATTTACACATGTGCTGAGTACAAAAATAGACTACATGAAAAGCTAGCTTTTGTTGTGTAGACACAGATTTGTAAATGCCCAAAATTGTAGTCTCGAACCAAATTCAATTTTTTTTTTGAAAAATTATGAAGCCCACATAGTTCACTTCATCATGTATATGCCAATTTTAGTGCTGATTTCTTTTTTAAATTTTGATACATGTTATATTACAGGGGTTATTCATTGTATAAAAATATCACCCATGGCCATCGTACGCTACTGTACACTGCTACCGGAGTTGGTTGCCTGTTTGCAACATATGACTTGCATATGAAATCATTGATTTTGTTTTATAGAATTTATCGTAAAATTTCCTTGTGAACAAATAGTTTGAGCTCAAAGTAGACTTCTTCGTGAATTTAACAAGAAATTATCTGGATGTTATAAAACTTTTTTGATTTACTGTTTTACTATAGAATTGCGAATTTTTAATAGAAAATTGACAAAAAATCTATTACGACTCTCTTTCACATCGAGTGCTATACTCTGGTTTAATGAAGGAAAGAGTCCCTGCTATTTTAGGTTCTGTATCTGTGAATTATAGGAATACCTCAATTGATTCCAAGCATGGTTTCAGATGTTTATTTCTCATTTTCTCCCCCGCTCAACGAGTTGGCGGGGGATATAGAAATGGGGCATACAGCCGTCCATGCACCTGGTTAAGAAGAATTACTCTCATCTATATCTTGCCTACTACAAGTGCTATATTGATTATCCTTGCATCAATTGTGTATCTAGGGTTGCTCTACTGAATGCATATTGCGGATGCTGATTTTGACCCATATTTTACGCTTCATGTTTTTAATGACCTTTGCACTGCGAGCAGGGGATATCCATGACAGCTTCTTCTTGTTCTTCTAGATCCCAGGAACACCCTATGTGCCGTTCTTTGGTAACATGCTGGAAGCCCGCCGATACGAGGCCATGACCAACTGCATAAGGTTTGATTTAGTTTCTGTTATATCTGGCTCAAAAAAATCAGGGTGATGATGGGGACTTATAGGATAATGAAATCAGATTTTCTACTGAAGTACAATGTATATGGATGGGCTTATTACCAGGCATGGGCTTATTGGTGGATAAATATTGTAGAATGTAGGACAGTTTTGTTCATACTTAGTGGTAAATGGTACTTGTTTGGAATAGTCTTGGTGAATATGACCAAATCACAAACAATCTGCAATCTATGATAATCCCTGTTGTGTCTACTTGGTGATATTGGATGATATATATACAGTCTTTAGCTCTTTAGCAGTCTTCATCAGGAATTTTAGTTCTGTTATTATAATGTGCCACATTGTTAGAGAAACAAGACTCTTTGTTTCCCCACGATTAATTGCATTTTACTTGGGCACTCTAGTGAAACATGGTTACTCTCTCTCTGGGATACAAAGACTTGTGTCCCTACAACAAGGACAATAAATGTATAATTCAACCCACTATGACTTGACATCCACTTTATTAAGACCTTTACCAAACATTTTTAAAAGAATATTTACATTTGCCTAGAGGTGCACTTCTTTAACTTCCTGTGGTTGGTGTCCACAGATGGATGACAAAGTTGGACTCAAAGATAATCAGATTTTATTTCTTTGGGGGAGAAGAGCGAGTTTTGGTGGCGGACCCGGACATTTTCCAGCATGTTCTCATCACCAACAGTAAAAACTACGATAGAGTGGGAGATTTGTCACGTGGGTATGTATACACAGGCAGAGTTTGAAACTGTCAAATTTAGTTTGTTGGTGTCTGAATGTACCTGCTTTGCATTTTACTTCATGGCATCCTGAAATTTCCAGGTACACTCATTACCTTCTCTGCATCCCTGGAATATGTAATGACAGAATTGAAGGCTTTGTATGCGCCACCTTGCGGATGATATATTTAGACTTATTTGACCCTTCAACTTACATCAAAAGAATCATGCAGCAGCCTAACGGTAAATTTGACTGGCTTTGAAGTTGAATGTCACTCCTTTGTAAGGACTGGTATCATCCAAATTGATTGGTAATTTAATTACCAATGGAATTACTAATTAAATGCCTTCAATTTCATCATGACATATTCTGTGGTTGCAGAGAACAAAAGTGAGCGTAACCCCTGGAAATTTGAGGATGGCTTCATGATGATATAGTATAGATCATTTGAATGATACAGTAACATTGAAGGCCACTTGTACGATATATCATAGAGGATATCTAATGGTTTTCTGTCAAATTCCATTGATATTTCTTGAGTGTGACAGAATGCTGTATTTTTTTTCCTCGTGAGGGCAACCAGCATGAGTAAAAATATTGAAGTACACAAGAGAAATATAAATGACATTCATGAAAGGCTATTACCTGGGTAAATGCTCTGATAATTCTCCAGTTTTAAAGCTTCAAAATGAAAAAAACAACACTATAAAAATGATTAAAATGAAGAAAATTATGTTATAACAAAAAAAAAGGTTCTAAGGTCAAGGTCACTTACTCAACAAAGACCATGGGAGGGGATTACAGTCAGGCACATGGTGAGGCCATTGCAGACCTGTCAGTGTTCTACTGTTTTCTGGTTTTATATTCTGTGTTTTCATTAGTTTAAATATGAGGAAATTTCATGCTGGTGGAAAAATTTGAAGTTGATATTATTTTATTGCTTGAAAAGTAACACTTTGACTGAATTTTAATTTTAATTTCCCATTATTTCACTCGAAAAAAATTGTTTAAGTATCATTTAACATATCAGACCACTCGGGAAGTTGCTACCCAATCCGCTGTTTGTATTGAGCGGAGAACATCACCATATTGTGAGAAAGATTTGTAATCCTGGATTCTCAATCAGACTCATACATGGTAAAGTTGGACTTCTTTATTTTTAATTTATCCTGCAATCAGCCGAAGGGGAAAACACATCTAGGGGGCTCTCGAAAAGTAAGGGGAGCTTATTACAGGACAATGAAATAGCTTTTGTTGGAATGTCTACTGAGTGGGCTTATTGCTGGATAAAACCTATACTATCACAGAATAGTATTGAATACTGGTCATTGCTAGATGTATTTGTATGCGGTAAGGCAAATATTGTTCAATATGACAGCTTTTGGCCTTTCTGGCAAGCAAAATAAACAATTCAGATGTATAAGATCTTCTTTACGAAATTTTGAATGTGATATAAATCCCTATCCTTTTCTTCATTGTTTAAATCACTATTAAACCATTGTTAGATTATGCATGCTTTCATTGTCAAATTTTCTTTATCAAGCTACTTAAATGTTTCAAAAAAAGTACCTGCAAAATCTTTTTAAAATAATTATTGTCCATTGGGCATCGTCTATGCAGGAATGGTGCCGACATTCCAGGAGAGAGCAGAAGCTTTGATTCATCTTTGGACACAAGGACTGCAGACTCAGGACAACAAAATGTTTGGCGATGTGAACGCACAAACAGACCTGGCCAAGCTTGTAAGTAACCAAGATTTTGAACTGTTTCCTGTATTTAGCTCACCTGGGCCAAAGATTTACCAAGTGAACTTATTCCAGTGGCACAGTATCCATCATCCATCTGATCATCCATCAACTTTTCCTGCAATACCATACTAGTCCTGAATGGTTGAGTGACTTTTGACTGTATATGGTCTGGGCCCGTATCCATGAAACTGATTTACAAGGTTACAAGAAAGTCAGCTTGAGCACAGAATTCATGCTTGAGCATGAGAACGGTTTCATAGATACGGACCCTGGATCATTGTTGGCCCAAGGGGACCAAACTTTGTATGAACGGAAGGTGGCCCCCTTGGGGGAAGAGGGTTTGGCCAAAAAAAGGAAACAAATTAAATCTCCTCAATTTTACTCCCTTAAGAACTGATGAACAGAAAATTTTAACCAAATTTGGCATGGAGCACTTTATGCAAAATTACAGCTCTTTGTTTATTTTTGGTAGGAAAGTTCGTCTAGTTGAAAGTTTAATTTACAGAAATTATGAAAAAAAAACACCTTCCACTTGACTTTAAGTGATAACTTATCTGTGAATATTTACTATAGGTCTTCTGAAAACATAAAGACAATAAACCTATAAATCTGATTGAGATGTTTAAATTGATCTTTTAATTTCTTATAAAATGAATCACATTGGTCAAGATTTCATTTGAAACAGTGTCAGACAAATTTCTAAACATTTTTTTCGGGTTGGTAAGTATGGATAATGAAAAGTTCTTTTTTACACAACCAATAAGAGTTTCTATGTGACGTTTTGATGACTAGTATGGTATGTACACTGTCGCCTTCATCCTACACAAAAGTGTAAAATGTGTGCAAGTTGTCCACCAAATCAATGTTGATTTGGCTATGCTGTAAGTGTATGTACAATAGTTGTTATATACAATGTATGTACCGAAATGACTCGTTTCAGCTACGCTTTGTTTAAAACTTGGTCGTAGATGTGCGAGAGTCTATGAGCCCCCTCATCTCGATTTAGAACTGGTCCACTGTAGCGTATCCAGATGGCTTCCTTTATCTGCCGCATGAACAGGTTGCTCTCTCTGTTGTTTGGCGTTATCCCAGTCAATCACACAATTTTTAGCTCACCTGGCCCGCCAGTGAACTGAATTCTGACCAAATGCAGTCTGAAGCATGATTAGGGACGAAAGAATAAATTTTGTATAAACTGAGGTGTGTGGGCCCTTCTAGGGTCAGATGGGTGGGGCCAATTTGGGGAAATAGAGGAAAACATCAAAGAGCCTTCCCCTTTTGTACAGATGAAGGGATTTTGACCATATTTGGTTTTGAGCATTATTGGCCAAATGGTTCTCAGTTTTGTATAAACGGAGGGTATGGTTCCCCTCGGGGCAGATGGGCGGGGCCAAATAGGGGGAAAATAGGTAAATCTGTTAAAATCTTCTTCTTCTCAACCAATGGAAGGATTTTGACCAAATTTGTTCTATAGCATCTTTGGACAAAGGAGCCTCAAGTTTGTATAAACGGAGGGTGTGGCCCCTCTGGGGGTATAGGGGCAGGGCCCAATAGGGGAAATAGAGGATTTTTTTTCTCCTACTATACAAGTGAAGGGATTTAAACCAAATGCAGTCTGAAGCATGCTTAGGGACAAAAGAATCAATTTTTCTTTAAACTGAGGTGTGTGGACCCCCTTCTTTGGGGCAGATGAATGGGGCTCATTAGGGGAGATATAGGAAAACATTAAAGATCCTTCTCCTTCTGTACCGTTGAAGGGATTTTAACCAAACTTGTTCTAGAGAATCTTTGGCCAAAGGGAATTGAATATTTATAAATGGAAGATGTGTCTGAAGCATGCTTAGGGGAAAAAAAATCAATTTGTTTAATTTGTATAAAAAGGTGCATGTGAGGCCCAATAGGGGAAATAGAGGAAAATTGGGACATAAAATAGAAAATGGGGGGAAATGTGGTAGGTAGGTAGGTTTTTTTATGAGAAAAAAAGAGTTTTAAAAAGACCCCAAAAAAACCAAGAACAATGTTCGTGGGACAAATTTTTTGTAAAAAGTAATTCACTTCAAATGGTATTAGGAAAACCACAGCAAGGCATTTTGCGTAATCTTTTTAATTATACTTGAAAAAGACGTTAACATCTGTTTACCTGGTGATTTGATGTTGTTTTCTCCTGAGCCTTGGCCAATACTCTCAAGCCGAATAACATTTGCATGTCCATCAGGTTTTACCCCAGAAATAATGCATTCAAAAAATAGATTAACTGGTTGATCCGCATAAATGAACTAGCCCCTGATTATATGTTGATTTGATTGTAGACGAGTGACGTCATTTGTAAGTGTGGTTTTGGATACGACATGCATACCATTGAAAATCCGGACTCGCCCCTTGTGCAACCTTTACAACGACTGAATGCCAACTCTCCTACAAGGTAGGCAATAAAGGACAAAGGGCGTTCAGGGTCATTTCCTGCCTCATCGGGGATTTAGATCTAGACATTATATTCGTAATCAGGAATAAAAGAAGTACGCAAATATGAAATTTCAAACTCAATCGTCAACTGGCATCTATGTATATGCACATTGGAAAATATCTGCACCAAGAAAGTTAGCCCCAATTAACCAATATGATGTTTCAAGATGAAATTTTTACCCAAGTTCTTTGTTAAGGATTCCCTTACCACTGCCACAAACTGAGTATGCATTGGAAACATTTTTTTTCAGAATGGCTATAGCTTTATTAATTTCTGAAAAGAAAAGCATATATAACTTGCGTGACTTTTATGGAAAAAATGTTGAAAAAAATGAAATAAATTATAATAAAAACAAAAATCAGTCTTCTGAGTGCATAAATACAACAGGGCCAGACCAGGATTTGAACCCTGGACCTCGTGTCTTTATACTGTTACTCAAACCAACTGAACTTCCTAGTCAACGGAAGTATCTTGGTTAAATCGAATTACAGTAAAATCCAAAACGGAATGTAAGGGAGGTTACTCTATATACAAATGAATAACAGTGGAATTCTCTACAGATATTCCCTTATATTTCTGATATTGAAGTGTTTACGTCGTCAGTGTAAACAAGATTCCTGGAAGGTCATCAAAATGTTTGCTTCTAGCTGTTGTCTCATATTATTTGAGGGGGGGAGGGGGGGGGGGGGGGGGGAAGCTTCAAAATGACACTGATCCAATTGCGTTCATAGCCCTATGAATGCTCATAGAGGAACTTGCAGTGGGAATATAATTATACATATTTACATTTAAGGCAATTTTGATATTTTTTGATGATTTCTAAAATATTGGACTTGCGCAAGTGTATGTCATGGAAGGTGCCAACACATTTGGCGTCACCAATCACTGTGTGACGTTATCCTGGTAAGATAAATAACTGTTTTATATTGATCACAATGTTAAAATATTTAATCTGAAACTTCAGAAAAAATGAATTTAAAACAATCTATAAATGGGAAGCACTAATTTGCTGACGTATTCAGACTCCGACTGGAAAGTTTATGGAAAAATAAACTTCATATTCTTTATCAGGTATATTGAGTCCAAGTGCAGTGGAAATGTAAATATTATACTATAAATTTACGCTTTCAGTTTTTTAGATCTTCTGCCGTTTAGCCGGTGGTATCCGACTAAGAGAAACCGTCAGGTATGGGAGGATTCTAAACTTATATTTCAACTAGCAGACAAGATATTACATCAAAAGAAACAGACGTTGGGTACAAAAGGTAAGTCCTTTGATTATCTTCTTGATTCTGTAACGTACTAATAGAATCTCTCACCCCCCTGGGGACGAGATAGGGGAATCTCAACCCGAAGAGGAAGATTCTTAAGTTGCCAAACATGAGGCTTTGTTGAAATAATGAAATAAACAAAATATAATCAATGACAGTATTCTGGTAAAAGACAAGCAACATTTCTGCGCCATCAATTTTAAACCTTAAAGATAGGGCCTGAACTATACCTGCATCGCACACAGAGGGTGTGAAATTTTGCAAAGGTCAAATAAGTGCAAATTTCAAGTAAATGGTTGTCTGGGCCGTACATTTTAAACTACTAAAGAAATGTTGATGAAATTTGAATTATATCTAAATCTACATCACATACAAAGGTTGTGTATTGCAAAATTTTCAGTAAATTCTTGTCGAAGTCTTTAATTTCAAAACCGTTAATGATGTCTTGATGAAACCTAGAGCATACTTGAATCAACTACAGAAGATGCAAAATTATTCCAGAATAAATAAAATTTCTTGCCATGTGATTGGCTGTTCAGATTGTGGGCAGGACCTGCTGACGTCGCTATTGGTTGCAAGGGACCAGGAGGGCGGAGCTATGTCAGACAAGGACCTTTTTGGAGAAGTGATAGGATTCTTTTTTGCTGGATTTGAGGTGATTTTTTTTAATTTAGTATCATAAATATGCTATGTTTTTGGAGTTGCAATCTATAGGCATCGTGCCGCTTTTATAACGGGAGCGAGACAGGCTAAGTTTTGTTTTATTTCATTCCACATGAATGTATATAGAAGCCTGCCCATTCAGGATAAAATCTTTTGAAAAAACACACTCGTGCCGCCAATCCTNTGGTATGTACACTGTCGCCTTCATCCTACACAAAAGTGTAAAATGTGTGCAAGTTGTCCACCAAATCAATGTTGATTTGGCTATGCTGTAAGTGTATGTACAATAGTTGTTATATACAATGTATGTACCGAAATGACTCGTTTCAGCTACGCTTTGTTTAAAACTTGGTCGTAGATGTGCGAGAGTCTATGAGCCCCCTCATCTCGATTTAGAACTGGTCCACTGTAGCGTATCCAGATGGCTTCCTTTATCTGCCGCATGAACAGGTTGCTCTCTCTGTTGTTTGGCGTTATCCCAGTCAATCACACAATTTTTAGCTCACCTGGCCCGCCAGTGAACTGAATTCTGACCAAATGCAGTCTGAAGCATGATTAGGGACGAAAGAATAAATTTTGTATAAACTGAGGTGTGTGGGCCCTTCTAGGGTCAGATGGGTGGGGCCAATTTGGGGAAATAGAGGAAAACATCAAAGAGCCTTCCCCTTTTGTACAGATGAAGGGATTTTGACCATATTTGGTTTTGAGCATTATTGGCCAAATGGTTCTCAGTTTTGTATAAACGGAGGGTATGGTTCCCCTCGGGGCAGATGGGCGGGGCCAAATAGGGGGAAAATAGGTAAATCTGTTAAAATCTTCTTCTTCTCAACCAATGGAAGGATTTTGACCAAATTTGTTCTATAGCATCTTTGGACAAAGGAGCCTCAAGTTTGTATAAACGGAGGGTGTGGCCCCTCTGGGGGTATAGGGGCAGGGCCCAATAGGGGAAATAGAGGATTTTTTTTCTCCTACTATACAAGTGAAGGGATTTAAACCAAATGCAGTCTGAAGCATGCTTAGGGACAAAAGAATCAATTTTTCTTTAAACTGAGGTGTGTGGACCCCCTTCTTTGGGGCAGATGAATGGGGCTCATTAGGGGAGATATAGGAAAACATTAAAGATCCTTCTCCTTCTGTACCGTTGAAGGGATTTTAACCAAACTTGTTCTAGAGAATCTTTGGCCAAAGGGAATTGAATATTTATAAATGGAAGATGTGTCTGAAGCATGCTTAGGGGAAAAAAAATCAATTTGTTTAATTTGTATAAAAAGGTGCATGTGAGGCCCAATAGGGGAAATAGAGGAAAATTGGGACATAAAATAGAAAATGGGGGGAAATGTGGTAGGTAGGTAGGTTTTTTTATGAGAAAAAAAGAGTTTTAAAAAGACCCCAAAAAAACCAAGAACAATGTTCGTGGGACAAATTTTTTGTAAAAAGTAATTCACTTCAAATGGTATTAGGAAAACCACAGCAAGGCATTTTGCGTAATCTTTTTAATTATACTTGAAAAAGACGTTAACATCTGTTTACCTGGTGATTTGATGTTGTTTTCTCCTGAGCCTTGGCCAATACTCTCAAGCCGAATAACATTTGCATGTCCATCAGGTTTTACCCCAGAAATAATGCATTCAAAAAATAGATTAACTGGTTGATCCGCATAAATGAACTAGCCCCTGATTATATGTTGATTTGATTGTAGACGAGTGACGTCATTTGTAAGTGTGGTTTTGGATACGACATGCATACCATTGAAAATCCGGACTCGCCCCTTGTGCAACCTTTACAACGACTGAATGCCAACTCTCCTACAAGGTAGGCAATAAAGGACAAAGGGCGTTCAGGGTCATTTCCTGCCTCATCGGGGATTTAGATCTAGACATTATATTCGTAATCAGGAATAAAAGAAGTACGCAAATATGAAATTTCAAACTCAATCGTCAACTGGCATCTATGTATATGCACATTGGAAAATATCTGCACCAAGAAAGTTAGCCCCAATTAACCAATATGATGTTTCAAGATGAAATTTTTACCCAAGTTCTTTGTTAAGGATTCCCTTACCACTGCCACAACCTGAGTATGCATTGGAAACATTTTTTTTCAGAATGGCTATAGCTTTATTAATTTCTGAAAAGAAAAGCATATATAACTTGCGTGACTTTTATGGAAAAAATGTTGAAAAAAATGAAATAAATTATAATAAAAACAAAAATCAGTCTTCTGAGTGCATAAATACAACAGGGCCAGACCAGGATTTGAACCCTGGACCTCGTGTCTTTATACTGTTACTCAAACCAACTGAACTTCCTAGTCAACGGAAGTATCTTGGTTAAATCGAATTACAGTAAAATCCAAAACGGAATGTAAGGGAGGTTACTCTATATACAAATGAATAACAGTGGAATTCTCTACAGATATTCCCTTATATTTCTGATATTGAAGTGTTTACGTCGTCAGTGTAAACAAGATTCCTGGAAGGTCATCAAAATGTTTGCTTCTAGCTGTTGTCTCATATTATTTGAGGGGGGGAGGGGGGGGGGGGGGGGGGAAGCTTCAAAATGACACTGATCCAATTGCGTTCATAGCCCTATGAATGCTCATAGAGGAACTTGCAGTGGGAATATAATTATACATATTTACATTTAAGGCAATTTTGATATTTTTTGATGATTTCTAAAATATTGGACTTGCGCAAGTGTATGTCATGGAAGGTGCCAACACATTTGGCGTCACCAATCACTGTGTGACGTTATCCTGGTAAGATAAATAACTGTTTTATATTGATCACAATGTTAAAATATTTAATCTGAAACTTCAGAAAAAATGAATTTAAAACAATCTATAAATGGGAAGCACTAATTTGCTGACGTATTCAGACTCCGACTGGAAAGTTTATGGAAAAATAAACTTCATATTCTTTATCAGGTATATTGAGTCCAAGTGCAGTGGAAATGTAAATATTATACTATAAATTTACGCTTTCAGTTTTTTAGATCTTCTGCCGTTTAGCCGGTGGTATCCGACTAAGAGAAACCGTCAGGTATGGGAGGATTCTAAACTTATATTTCAACTAGCAGACAAGATATTACATCAAAAGAAACAGACGTTGGGTACAAAAGGTAAGTCCTTTGATTATCTTCTTGATTCTGTAACGTACTAATAGAATCTCTCACCCCCCTGGGGACGAGATAGGGGAATCTCAACCCGAAGAGGAAGATTCTTAAGTTGCCAAACATGAGGCTTTGTTGAAATAATGAAATAAACAAAATATAATCAATGACAGTATTCTGGTAAAAGACAAGCAACATTTCTGCGCCATCAATTTTAAACCTTAAAGATAGGGCCTGAACTATACCTGCATCGCACACAGAGGGTGTGAAATTTTGCAAAGGTCAAATAAGTGCAAATTTCAAGTAAATGGTTGTCTGGGCCGTACATTTTAAACTACTAAAGAAATGTTGATGAAATTTGAATTATATCTAAATCTACATCACATACAAAGGTTGTGTATTGCAAAATTTTCAGTAAATTCTTGTCGAAGTCTTTAATTTCAAAACCGTTAATGATGTCTTGATGAAACCTAGAGCATACTTGAATCAACTACAGAAGATGCAAAATTATTCCAGAATAAATAAAATTTCTTGCCATGTGATTGGCTGTTCAGATTGTGGGCAGGACCTGCTGACGTCGCTATTGGTTGCAAGGGACCAGGAGGGCGGAGCTATGTCAGACAAGGACCTTTTTGGAGAAGTGATAGGATTCTTTTTTGCTGGATTTGAGGTGATTTTTTTTAATTTAGTATCATAAATATGCTATGTTTTTGGAGTTGCAATCTATAGGCATCGTGCCGCTTTTATAACGGGAGCGAGACAGGCTAAGTTNATCACCTGTGTCATCAAGGAAACACTTAGGTAAACAGCTCAAATACCTCACCTGTGTCATCAAGGAAACACTCAGGTAATCAGCTCAAATACCTCACCTGTGTCATCAAGGTAACACTCAGGTAATCATCTCAAATACCTCACTTGTGTCATTAAGGTAACACTCAGGTAATCAGCTCAAATACCTCAGCTGATGGATCATATATGGTACCACTGAAACACATCAAAATGCATGCTTTTATATAGATAGATACTTAATTGAGGTACATTACCAAACCATGTGTATATTGAATGAATCTGTCGGATTTAACTGAAATTAAAAAAAGCTGAATCGAAATTAAGCTGATAGGAAAACCAAGACGGGCCAACATGTGACAGCAAGTGTCAACGGAGACTCAAAGCTATTCTATAACCCCGTTTAATTCACTCTGAGTATTTGATGATCCAAGTGATAACAATGAATGTTCTTTCAAATAAACAGTTATAATCCACAGTAGATATCTACATTATAAACAGCGTAAAAATAACAAGCGATAAAATTAAAATCTCGCTAAGTTAAGCTGCTTTACATTTTTTACCAAGAAACATATCATATAACTTAATTACTTCTATAGGTAGAAATAATTAGAAACAGATATGTCATATGTTGACGATTTCGTTGTATGGTGACCTCTGTTCATCATCTGTTTCAGGTTGTTTCCACCCATTGTCACACTCTTCCGTACAGCTAAGAAAGATGACACCCTGAAAGGTTATCATATCCCTGCGGGTACGAAAATTGGACTTCATAATGGAGCTCTTCATCGGTGAGTAAAACTGTTGTTCATCACAGTATTTATGTGTTGTTTATCACCTACATTATGTACAGATGTTGTTTATTACCTACAATTCTATGATCAACAACAAGCCTAAATGGTATAAGGAAGAAGACTTTCAGAAGTTTAATTATCTGTTTTCTGAGTTTACCAGATAGATATATATATATATATAGCATGTATGTGTTGTCCACTCCCCAACATCAGCAAAGTTACATTTGCCATAATTCATTACATAAACTATCTTACATTATATACATGATTATTTCCATGTCCCTTCGTGGGTGGCCGGGTGGCGCAGTGGATAGCACATTGGCATTTCACCAAGACGGCAGGGTTCAATTCCCGTGAAAAGGTATAGGGTCACCTGCCCAACCACGTGTGTTTTCTCTGGGTACTTAGGTTTCCTCCCACATTCAGACCCCCTGCGCGCTACCATCTGGGCCAACAAGAGTAATTAATATAAGTTGATTGAATTTTTTTTACAATAAATAAAACAATTGCTTTAAAAACGACAAAGTTTTCATTAATTTTTACAACAAATCACTTCATTACAACTCAGAGGAGCATTAACCCTTTCACCCCTAGGCCTATGTAACTTTAGTAGACTGTACCATGTATTGATCTGGATGAGTCCATTATGGTCTAGAGTGGTGAAAGGGTTAAGGCCCATGGGTGACTAGGTGGAATACTGTGCTGGGTGCTTTCAGCATGGTATTTCAGTGAAGTTGCACTCTAAAGTTGGCGTCACATCTGTACTATAGAAGGTACCTACATGTACACACGTGTAATTGCATACATTACACACAGGTACATTTCTTAAATGAGTATATCTGATCATGGGATGCTTTACCCATTTAAGTTAACTAAACCAAGCCTCTTGTTGAGTTTGTGGCTTCAAGGTTTGATGATGGTGGGCTGTTCAAAACGCCTGTCGTCCATAGTCTTTGATCCGTCTGTCCGTCTGTCTGTCATCCGTCCGTCTATCGTCCTTCCTTAAACAATGCTTGTTATCACTATTTCTCAGAAAATCCTGTAGGGATCTTTCTCAAATCTGATATGTAAGTTCCCCTTGGTCTCTTATTGTGCATGTCAACTTTTGAGTTTGATTCAAACAACAAAATGGCAGCCCAAAATGGCGGACAGGTGACCATCTTGGATTTTGACAGTGAATGTTTGTTATAGCTAAGTGGTGGAGGGATATTTCTCAAATTGCATATTTAGGTTCCCTTTAGTCTATTATTGTGCATTTGAAATTTTGAGACTGCTGGCTTTGATAAACAAAATCTTTGATATTGACAGTTAAGGTTTGTTGTGGCTATTTATCTGGAAATACTGGAGGGATCTTTCTCAAACTCATTATATAGGTTCCCCTTGGTCTCTTGTTGTGCATGTCTGTTTTGAGTCTGATCCGATAAACACAAAGTGAACAGGTGACCATCTTGGATTTTGACAGTTAAAGTTTGTTATCGCCTTTTTCTCAGAAAATACTGAAAGAATCTTTCTCAGTCAACAGACTTTGATGTCAATTTATCTGCATGGATGGAAAGATCATCAGAAGCTTTGTGTTAATTCTAAATTTCATAACCTCTAGCCATCCGTTCTTCCTTGGGGAGGGGGTAAAGTTTACTATAGTTTATATAGGGAAATAACTCTTTGGTACATTTTGTCCATTTGCAGCAGGATATTATTCAAACTTGGAGGAAAAGGGTTTCAAATTGTAAAAAACTTTTTTTGGAATAATTGTGATGAAATGACAATTAGATGATGCGAGAAAAAAAATCCAACCTTGCCCCAGGAGCTGAAAAAATCTTCTTCCAAAGACTCAAATGTATTGCAATCAAATACCCTTAATGGATTGAAAGGTCCTTTGGTGTTTTAAATAAATTGTAAACTGTATTACCTCTGGGTCATCTGCTCTCCTTTTGGGAGTGGGTAAGATTTACTATGGGTCATCTGCTTTCCCTTTGGGAGGGGGTAAGCTTTACTATGGGTCATCTGCTATCCCTTTGGGAGGGTGTAAGATTTACTATGGGTCATCTGCTCTCCCTTTGGGAGGAGGTAAGATTTACTATGGGTCATCTGCTTTCCCTTTGGGAGGGGGTAAGATTTACTATGAGTCATCTGCTCTCCCTTTGGGAGGGGGTAAGATTTACTATGAGTCATCTGCTATCCCTTTGGGAGGGGGTAATATTTACTATGGGTCATCTGCTCTCCCTTTGGGAGGGGGTAAGATTTACTATGAGTCATCTGCTATCCCTGTGGGAGGGGGTAATATTTACTATGGGTCATCTGCTCTCCCTTTGGAAGGGGGTAAGATTTACTATGGGTCATCTGCTCTCCCTTTGGGAGGGGGTAAGATTTACTTTGAGTCATCTGCTCTCCCTTTGGGAGTGGGTAAGATTTACTACGAGTCATCTGCTCTCCCTTTGGGAGGGGGTAAGATTTCCTATGGGTCATCTGCTCTCCCTTTGGGAGTGGGTAATATTTCCTATGGGTCATCTGCTATCCCTTTGGGAGGGGGTAAGATTTACTATGGGTCATCTGCTCTCCCTTAGGGAGGGGGTAAGATTTACTATGGGTCATTTGCTCTCCCTTTGGGAGGGGGTAAGATTTACTATGGGTCATCTGCTCTCCCTTTGGGAGGGGGTAAGATTTACTATGAGTCATCTGCTCTCCCTTTGGGAGGGGTAAGATTTACTATGAGTTGTCTGCTCTCCCTTTGGGAGGGGGTAAGATTTATTAGGGGTCATCTGCTCTCCCTTTGGGAGGGGGTAAGATTTACTATGGGTCATCTGCTCTCCCTTTGGGAGAGGGTAAGCTTTTCTATGAGTCATCTGCTTTCCCTTTGGGAGGGGCGTAAGATTTACTATGAGTCATCTGCTCTCCCTTTGGGAGTGGGTAAGATTTACTATGGGTCATCTGCTCTCCCTTTTGGAGGGGGTAAGATTTACTAAAGGCCAAGTTCTGACCCAAATCCTACACCCTTGGGTAGAAAATCTGTATCCCACATACCTTATTTTAATAATAATAATAATTTGAGGTTTTTGTATACTGCTTTATCACAACCTAGTTTGTATGTCGTCTCAAATCTGTTCAGAATTTATTATCCATTGCTATAAGGCCTTTGCAACCAGCCAATATCTTTCTCAACTCCCTGGGGAGCATACAGCCGATGCTGCCATTTCGACGCTCGCAGCTAGCATTCTAGAATTCTAGCACTGCCCAACCACGTACTCATTTACAACTGAGTAGACTGGAACAAGCGGAGTAAAGTATCTTGCCCAAAGATACAACACAGTGCCTACATATGATTCTATGAACGTGTGTACTGTATCACTTTCCCTGATGCTGGTTAACAGATGTTACTTTTGATAGTCTCATCTCCATCGAAAACCTTTATATATATATATATGAGGGATTATAAGATACACAAGTCACAAATACAAGTATTCGTTTTGATTCCTTTTGTGGTTGCTTCCAACTACAATATTTATCCAAAAATAAGCCCATGCCTGATATTAAGCCCACCCATACCTATTACAGTTCAGTAGAAATGCCAAATTAATGCTATTTCATGGTCCTGTAATAAGCCCACCCATACCTATTACAGTTCAGTAGAAATGCCAAATTAATGCTATTTCATCGTCCTGTAATAAGCCCACCCTTACTTTGAGTCAAGAGATTATGTGTTGGTCCCCTGGGCTTATTGCAGGATAAATACGGTAAGTTCATTGGACTAACATCTTGTGAACTATGGTAATTTTTTTACTATATTTAATGGATGTCTCTATAAGGATACAGCTTATTTTTAGGATTCTGTTTTTTGCAAGATGTATTGCCCTATTAACCAAACCTCCATTTCGGACTGGAATTCATCAGTTGTTAATATAGCTCTTTTTAAATTTTATGAAGAATTCAAACAGATCAAGCTCTAGATAAAAACATTTTCAGTACCTTTACCCATGCTCAACAGACCTTGTCAGGAAATCTCTTCTATATAGAAGGGAGACTACTCCATGTAAAAAAAACTCTTTAGCGGAACTCTTCTGCGTGATTATAAAAAATGCATTGTTACCCTTTACTTTAAACTAGCTCTAGTAATAACAAAAACATCATAATATATTTAATGTGTTTTTGGGGGGGTTTAACCCTTTCACCACTGTGACCACAATGGACTCATCCAGATCAAAGCATGGTAGAGTTTATTAAAGTTACATAGGGGTGAAAGGTTTAATGTCGTCACAACAGCCAGGTAACAGCATGTGTAATAACTCAATAAGGGATGACATCAACAACACAAACTTGCATATGCAGATCTACTTCCTATGAATGATGTTTAAGATAGTTTTTATACCCTCACAACAAAGTCAAGTTGTCTGTCTGTCTGTCTGTCTGTCCATCTTTCCATCTGTCTATCTGTTTGGATGTCCATTTGTCTGTCTGCTTGTACAACCTCCTCGTCGGATTTAAAGATACGCTCTATCAATCTTATAAATGTACTTAAAGTCAATAGTAGACAAACTCCATGAATGGATATGTTTTTAGAGGTACTGTATAGCAAGATATTTCTGCGGGAATGATATTTTCAATTTCGCGAGACAATAATGTAATCGCAAAATTATGACTCGTAGAATAATGTGACAAGCGTAAAAATGACCATAAAGTCGTCATTAAGTAACAGTTATATGGTTGTAATAATGTATTTACATGAAGAGTAATACAAGTTGTTTGAAAATGGATTATATCACGCATTAAATATTTTTGTTGATGATTTGTTTGATAAAATAAACTTACTGGTTTTTACTCAATATGCTGTTAAAAAGTGTATTCATTTGATTATTTGACACGCAGAGTGTTCCGTCTTTGTGCTAAAACTTGGAGAAAAATTTCATTCCTTCACACGTCTAGATTGCGATATTATAATCTGTGTAAATATAATTTTCTAATTTTGGGTCAAAATTGCAAAAAATTTAAGCCACCGTTAAAAA